TTTTTTTTTTTTTTTTTATAACACAGGGATATGCAAACAAGCTCATAATAATAATCAAGCCAACCAAAAAATAGTAACGCTGTGCATAACACAAGCGTGACGCAGTTTGGTTTCGTAACACAATTTCGTTGCAGTCAAACGCTATCCTTCGCATATAAAGAAGTTTCACCTCTGAAAGCAAAAACTTTATCGCATTAGCCTGAAAGAGCACTTACCCACACATCTACAAGATAGCATTAAACATTTATTTCTTGTTGTTGTACTACTTTGAAGTTGCCACAAATTGTCCCGCCCACAAATCCGCTTACCAAGCTGTCCTATCATTTTAAAATCCCAATTGGCCTATTCTTTGTTATAAAATTAAGTGCAGCATTCAACCCTTCAGAAATCCTCTTCGAAAATCATCCTGCACTCGGCTACACGAGTGCCTTTCACACAAAAAAGTTTAATTACGCCTTAGCTCACCTTTATCACCTTTTATTTGTAAGTATGTATTTCGACAACTCACCAACGCCATTAATCTCCTACTTCCGCACATCCTTCCACTACACAATATCGCTCTCCCTTACGTACGCACACACACACATACATACATAGCTCTCATAAACTCTCGTGAACTAATTATTTTTGTCTGTCTTATCTTTTCGTCACCGATCCTGTAGTGGTGAAATAATCACGAAAGCCAAGTACTTGGAGGAGGAGGCGGCTAAGCGGCGCGCCAATAAAGACAACGCCAACAACAACAACATCAATATTAACAACAACAGCGAGAATGACAATGACGACGAGGATGCGAAGAATTTCAGCTCGGACGAGGAGTCCCGTGAGGATGATGTCTTCTATGAGAACAACAACACAGCCGGCGATAAGGACGACGAAGAGGATGAAGAGTGAGTCAAAAGCATGAAATAATGAAATTACTGGATATTATCTCTAAATGACTGGGCCTGGTTTGTGGCATCAAAAATGTTTGATTTTTCACATTTCATTAATTAACGGTAATTTCAAATGCACGAACGAGCGCCCGCTGGCTGAACAGTGGGTTGTTTGGTTGATTTCATGCAGCAGACGGTTTGGGGCGCCTGAAAGCATGCTACGAATTTGATATGGTTAAAAATGTGTGTGTGTATGTGCGAATGGCTGACACGTGGCTGTCGCACATGCTCCGATGTGTGTTTGAAAACGTTGTAGTTTGTTGTTTTCGTGTGCCCAATATGTGCACATGTGTGCGTGTGAATGTAAATATGACCGTATGTGTCACCGCACGCATCACTCCACGTCCGATTTCATTAAAGAGTCTGTATGCTTTTTGAAGCTTGTTTACAAAAGCGTGTGTGGTCGGGTGAGGGTGCGTGTGGGTTTGTCTTTAAAAGTGCCGTGGTGTGGTCTGTTTGTTTATTTGTCCGGTTTTCAGTCCTTTTTGTTGTTTCACAGTGTACAGCCCTGTGATGTGCTCTCTGCCATTGAGTCGCAAAGATTAAAGAATTTTCAAAATAGGTCACTTACGATACAACCCTGTCGCAGAGCTTGTAGTATAGGACAAACAAAACAAGGAAAGAAGAAAGATTTCCAAACCGTTTACAATTGCTGGTGGTTGGCGATTTAAATGTCATTTTGTTGAATGGGGGAAGCAAAAAAACAGCTTAATTCGCCTCATGAAAACAGTGACTTTTCGTTTGATATAATTTTTCCTTGAAGAAAAGTAATTATTGGCAAGTATGATTCTACGTTGGATTTTAAGCCTAACGTTGGCCGATGCCACCATGACTTCGATGACTGTCAACACTAACGCGGAAACCAAGTCGCGAGTGTGATAACTGTTTATCTGATGACAGGAGATATTTCGTCTTGAGCTCGTTTACAATCGCACCCATTTGCTTCGCTGTTTTGTCTAACCTGGAGAAAGCAGAACTAACGGCGCAGTTGTTGAGGTCAATGATATCAATAACATCGGCATAAGCCAGCTATATATATATAATAGATGATGGAGCTTACTCTATTTAGTTCTACAGCTCGAATTATTTTCTCCAGGAGTAGATTGAAGAAGTCGAAGGAAAGGGAGTCGCCTTGTCTGAAATCACGTTTGGTATAGAACGGCTCGGAGAGGTCCTTTCCGATTTCGACGGAGCTTTTGGTATTGCTCAACGTCAGTTTACATAGCCGTATTAGTTTTGCGGAGATACCAAATTCAAACATCGCGGCATAAAGGCAGCTCCTCTTCGTGCTGTCGAAAGCAGCATTGAAATCGACGAAGAGGTGGTGTGTGTCGATTCTCCTTTGACGGGTCTTTTCCAACGTTCGGCACATCGTGAATATCTGGTAAGTTGTTGATTTGCCAAGCCTAAAGCCACACTGATAAGATCCAATCAGTTTGTTGATGGAGGCTTTTTCTACGGTTGTTGGCGCAGATTGTTTGGTCTCTCTTTTTGTGGATTGGGCACACACAAATTCCAATCGTCGACCATATTCTACAAAGAAGCTGATGCATATTCCTTGTCAGTTCTTCGCCTCCGTGTTTGAATAGCTAGACCGGCAATCCGTCGGCCCCACCGCTTTGATGTTCCACAGACGAGTAATTGCTAATCGAAGTTTTTCATGGTCGATCAATGAAACATCTGCTCCATCGTTGTTGTTGTTGTTGTAACGGCAGAATTCTGCCGAGTTGACAGTCCTTGGCCGGATAAAAATCCGGGTCCGTTCCGGTTTTCGTAGACCCGACTGTCGTGGGAACGGTGCTCCATCGTCACCGAGTATGCTCTGGGTATCAGTTACCAGATCACCTCAGGGGGTTCTACAAGAATATGATCCGGTATTCGAGCATTATCCCTGACGGCCAGCTTGACAATCTCCTCGTACTCACGCATTTCGGTCACTCTCTTTTTCTGTCTGCAAATGCGTTTCGCTTCCCGCTTCAACTCTCGATGTTTATTCTATCCCGCACGAGTTGTGGTCGATTGTAACGTTCCGAGGTAGACAGTCTGTTTTCTCACCGCTTCAACAAACCACTCCTCAAATGTAGCAACTGTTCTCTAAAGGTAATACGACATAATAATTAAACGCAAAGTATTAAATTATTCATCGATATCTCTTTTGTCATCTTCAAAGTAATCCCCACCAGATGTAAAGCACTTTTGCTAACGTTTTTTTCAATTCTCGAAACACTTTTCATAAGCACTTTTTGGAATGGCCTCCTTCAGCGAATTATGTTTGATCTCATCTATCGACTGAAAACGGGTTCCACGGCGCGCCAATTTTAGATTGGGGAACAATAAAAAATTCACAGCAAGCCAAACCAATGTTATTTGCCTTATTTTTGGTTTTGAATTTGGTCACAATCGTATACTTTTTACAGATTTCGACGTAAAATGCGCCAAGTCATTCCATACGTTAGTCCGTGTTACTTCGAGCGTCTTGAGCACGACAGACTGTAAAGTAAAATACACAAGTTCTTATGGACACAGTTATTTTGACAGCTACAGGACTACACGACTGCAGGCCACAGTTGTCGCTCTCGCTAACTTCAGTATATTTTTATATTTGCCAACGACAGTAGGACGACAGTAGAATTGACAGTAGAGAGATGAAGTAAAGTGGTGATGCCACTAGTATGTGAAATGTAAAATTATTCAAAGCTCTACCAAACCTGACATTATTTTACAAATAATAGCATAAAAAAGCTCTATTATATTATTTGTAATAACAAAAGACAATTTAAAACAAATAAATTTACCTATTTACTTATTTTTTGCATAAAAAATTTCACTTTGAACAAAATATTAAAATTTCATTGAAGTGCAGGGTATTAGTATGGCCACAACGAAATTGTGTACATGCAAAATGGACAACTTCGTTGTTTTCTGTACATACCGACCGTTGTTATGTTGCTGCCCTCTCACAAACGTTCATGTAGTAGGATTCATAACGTCGTTTTCAGTTCACTGTCGTGCAGTGTCGCGCATTGTGTTCAGCACATCACTTGGATTGCAAGATTTCTAGTCACCCTTATCATTTATATATATTATATAACCCTATGTCTATCTGGCTTAGTTTTAGGTGTTACGTACAGCCGTTAGGTGAACACAACTATTATACTCTGTAGCAACTGGTTGGAAGAGTATAAAAAGTCTTATCATTTCTTGTCTACAGTAGTTTAAGCATACTCTTCAGATACGCTTTAAAATATCGATAAAAAGAGCGAATATTTTTTAAAACATATGCACATAAATATTCTATATACGCCGACTCATTAATAGCTGACCGCCTGCATATGCAACTAAATGCAAATAATAGTTTACAATGAAGTAAAGCACATGGCATTTTAAATGAAATATAACGGTTGCCAATACACAAACCTACCACATGTATGTATGTATGTACATATGTATGAGTTCCCACAAGTATGCGTATAAAAAGCGCAATTACTTTTCGCTTAACACGCACGTGCAATTGTAAAAATGTAAGTATGTACGTGTGTAGGTATATTGACACAGCATTTTTTGTATAAAAAAAAAACGTAAGTGTGTATTTTATTGCCAGTTGGCGCTTTATTTTTACTTACAGTTTTAAGTTTAATATTAAAGTTGGCGGCATATAAAAAATGTATATTTATATACATATTCATGTAGTCTCCCTGTATTGACAATAAGCACCATGTCCACTGCAAATACCTGCAATGCCGTCATCCTCCCAAAGGCACGTCATTAACAACAACGTCATCGCATTGTTTCGACATTTTTCCTCCACTTCGGCATCAATGCCAGCGCAACAATAACAATAAAATGAGGCAGCCATGGCAGCAATCGACATAAAATTGCCATACAAATGCTTTTGCGATAGCTATGTAGCATATTAGGGATGTTCTTAACTCGACACTCGATATTTGAGCATACATAGTTAAGCATTTTTCTTTAAAAGAACTTTGGCACGTAGGTTTTTGATAAAATAAATCTTGAACCTTGGGTATTCAAACAATTCAAGTTATTTGATTTGAATAGAAATGTGGGAAATAATATAAATTTTGGCCCAAATACAGTCTTTGCTTCGAGCAAGTTCCCAGTTCTGGTACCGGAAAAGAATACTTTGTTCGTGACGTGATGTAGTCGTGCTATTAGACGGAAGCTTTCGAAGGCATTATAAAGTGAATTTCGCTAAAATTACCAGAATACAATACCAACTAGCAGCATAGTTTACAGAAGCGGTCTTTACTCCGATATTATTTATGATGTTTGCATGAACATTTCCAAAAAGTAAATATACGAAACTTTGAATTGTGTTAACGAACTTTCATATGAAGCTAAAGGTGGCGGCCCGCGCTTGATTATGAAAATTATTGAAAATTATCTTTTTCAAAAGCCGATACTTTCATAAAGTGTTTACACATCAGTGATTCAGGATGTTAATGATAGGCAGGAAATGTTGAGAGGTGCTGGCGAGAGGTTAAAGTTTATCGTAATTTAAAGTAGTATATAATGTAATCTAAAGAGGTATATTTTAGAGGAAAATATGCTAGAACTTTCTGAATACAGATTTATTTTTTATTAATTAGATGGATGAAATATTAGCTCTTCACTCAGAAAAAATAATAGCATTAAACGTAGTCGCTTCTCACCTTTTCTGATGAAAAAACAAAAAAAACAAAAACACACAGACTTCAAATTTAATGAGGAATATTTATTATCATTCGAAAAGCATTCTTTGGCATTTATTTTTTGACGATTATCTCCTTCAAATGTTGGCCTTGGCTACGTCTCAAATGGTCCATCCATTAAGTCCAATTTTGGATGACTCGTTCTAGCATTTCGACTGGTAACTGGCGAATGATGCGCGTGATATTTTGCTCCAAGGCCTGAATCGAAGCGCGATTTTCGGATAGACTTTGTACTTTACATAT